ACGAGAAGCTTTCATGCTGAGTTAAATGATGTATACGCTCAGTGGGATCCGTATGTGGTCCAACCGTTATTACGTGTTAAAGTCAACGCTGCTCTATGCAGTTCAACCGTCGCTCTTGTTGTTTCGTTGAAGCAACTGTTTTCATGCTTACAATAACACCGTCTTGACAGAGGTAAAGTGAAGGCTAATTTTTGTAGTAAGAGTAACTCTTCTCATCCCATGTATTGGAAAGTTTTCCAAGAGTACTCGAAGCCATGGCAATCTTGGATATTTCCAAGCCGAGATATTTAAATCGATCAACCTCTTGCTGCGCTTCACCTGCCTGTTTCATTTATAGGTCAGCTATGTCGGATGGGTTCCTCAACTTTTGACTCCTGGCCGTTAAGTAAGAAGCCTCTTTTAGCAGCTGTGTCGCCTACTGAAAGCGTCAATTGATAGAGCCAGCTTCCCTTACTACTCAACAAGACAATCTGGATACTCAGTCAGTGAGATATCTAGTCGAATATATTGAACGGTCCCTTAGTTCTACAATAAAGTCTTCATCTTTACCACTGTCAGCATTTTTTCAAAGAAGAAAGTTGAGAACAGTGTTGAATGGCAAAGGCGAACTCTGCAGTCGATAGGTAACCATTCAGACAACCGTGCTTTAACTTTGATCGCATACGTGGTTCCCGCATACATCTGTTCCAGAATGAAAAAGATGTGGTCGGGTATTCCATTGTGTTTCAAAATATTTCACGAAGTTGAACGATGTTTACACCATTTTCACAATGTTTGCATAGAGTCACTGCGAGGAGTTATTCAGCGGCGTTTCGCCGCCCTCCTGCTTCTATAGGCAAAGGAGCAGGGGCATATTTGCAGACCATTGCTCCATAGTATTTGAGCAACTTAAGTGTATTTCTGCAGAGCATCATCGCAGTGTTAGCTCGTGGGGCCAACGGAATGTTTTTAGCCGTAAACATTATAATGATGTGATAATAGGTTTATAACCATAAGACACTGATACTGCCCCTTTGCCACTGAACACATTTATATGTGTTTTCACTAGATTAGATTAGACTGAAACTTATTATAGCATTCTTTCGTTGTATAAGGTCTTCCATTCGTAATTCTGTTCTCCAGGCGCTGAGCCGTCATGAATTTTACCACTGACGATCACCATAATATGGGAGTTCTGGAACATGATTTAGTAAACATCGTCTAGGAACATTGCTTGTCAATGAGTAAATTTAAAGAAGTGGCTCATGGGCACGTCCGATTCGACACATGGTTTCTCATGCGTATTTTCTAGTCATAAAGCAACTCTAGCAGTATGACAGCAGTCTCTGACTTAGTTGTAAGTCATTTAGTTTCGATGACCGGTTATCTCAGAGGCAGCAGGGTTAGATAGATTCTCCAGCGCTCTTGGTCCCATGCTACCGTTTGAGCTACTTCAGATTACCTCAATTTGAAGTAGAGTCCGTTGAGGCAGTTTGCCCTGGTCATTCTTGGCGGTGGAGCTAGTAGTACCTGTTCCACCTTCATTTCTGGATGGATTCACAAAACATGCAAAACATTTTAACTGTAAGTACAAC